TTCAGATGCCTGATTTCTACTAATTTCAATGTGAGCTCCAGTGCCGAAACAGAAATGGCAGGGGCCTCCTGCACAACCGATGGAAGCACTTAGGCCATCCTCTAACTGGAGAGCAAAACTGCAGGTAAGGAGTGGAGAAAAGCAACTGATCTGAAGGAGGAAAAGACAAGCAGACCACAGATTAGGAGAAAAATCCATTAGGACCGATCTTTTTTAGCTTCCTTTGTGGCTGTGAGATGTATCTTTGCAAGAAGAAAGAGAAAAGCTGTTGGAAGCTAAAACTGTTGAATTATCATACAGAAAAAAAAAAAAAAGGAAGGAAATCCCTTACATTTGACAGCAGCGAGGCAGAAGAGAAGGAAAACATGGTGATACCAGGCTTCTCACTGCAAATTTATAAAAATAGCACTTGGTCAGTAAAGCCACATCGAACACAAGAGAGTGCTGGGATGGGCACGCAAGCATACTGCTACAAAGAGCTGCAGCAGGGAAAAGAAAGTGAACTTATGGTGCTGTCTTGGAGTTTTTGTTTTCTTTTATGTATTTTTTTTAAATACCCATCCAGATATTTGTCAGGAAGGACCTACACTCTCCTCAAGCTGTAGTAGCATCTAGGAAGAAGAGATGAGACTAGATGGCCTCCATGGTCCCTTCCAACTCAAACTATTCTATGATTCTATGTCACCTAAGATCAGAGAGCAAAGATGGTGACTCTGCAGGTCTACATTTTTCTACATCTTATCTTCAGACAGAGTCTGTTTACAACAGTTTTTTCAGCTCAGAAAATCTTAAGTATCTTTCTTTTACACTAAAAAAAAAGTGGGTCAGCAGACATTGTTTAAAATACATGAAAGGTTTTAATTGGTATTTGTAAAAATAAGAAGGTTTTTGAAGCAACTGTGGGTATTACAATTCTACCTGGAAGTCTAATCCGAGAGCAGCGTTGCATAATGACAAAAATAAACACGATGAGAGACCTACTGTTACTTAAATGTGGACAAGTTGGACCAGCTGTGTAACAGTCAATGCTTCTACAGTAATAAATGTTGACAGCAAAAATAAAAAGAATGCATTACTGAGACATCATCAAATGAGCCTTGTCATTACATGGAAACTCCACCCTGTATAAGCTTGTCAAAAAGTGTTACTGTAATCCTTTGAGAAGCCTCCTCCTCAGGCAATGCAGAAAAAATGTCCAGGATCAGCCCAGAACAGGTGTGTTGCTCTGTAATGCCAGGATTTAATCATGTATCTCTTCACATTAATCTCACAAAAGAACTAACTTGGACCTATTTGGGCCCATCACACCACACCGAGATGATTATTTAACTGTCCAATTAAAGCTAACAGGGTGTTTAAAAAGGGACATTCCAGGGTGTACAATATTTTACAATTATTATTTGTTTTCCTAAGGCCAGCACCCGGCACTTACACTGAAGAGGAACTGATACTACGTGCTCTTTTCAAAGTCAGTCCCCAAAAAATCTCGGTTCACACCTTGATCAACAGTGGCAGAGACTGGTTGTCCCTGCTCCGAGATACCCTCTTTTGCTCACAGGAGAAACTCCTTAGAGGTGCTTATTTCCTCTTTACGAAAATCCCCAACGCTGTTGCCTGAACAGTAGTCGAGTTATCAACGTTTGTAGTGTGGGCCAGAGGAGCAAACACGGGTAGAAAACGAAAATATGTCCATCAGCTGTATGATATAATCAGTGTAGTCTCAGAGCAATTCTGCGTACACAGCTGGAGGCTGGACTTCAGACCCCACCACACTGGCGAGGGTGGGACCATGCCCTGGCCAAGTGGCCTTGCTGCTGTTGATGCCACTCAACCCACCATTCAACTATCCATCAGCCCCTTTCTCATCAGAAGTGCCACGTGAGCACAATGTCAGTATGTTGCTGATCATATTTTATTATTTGTGGCGTGTTACTACGGCAATTTAAGTAGCAAACTTGTAAAACAGACATCACGACCGCTAGGCAACGTATCTACAATGGTACATCAACAGCGTGGTCCAAAAGAGGCAGGAGGTTTCCAAAATGTCACTTGGTCAACAGAGCTGTCAGGCAGCACACAACAGGCCCAATGGTCCATGATTGACCCCGAAGCCTGGGAGGGGTAGGGGACAGGATGGGACGGCAGATCGATCTCCCTTTAGGACAGGCTGGGAGAGAAAATGGGTGCCTAAATCACACAGCACTGTACCTCGAGACAGGTACACTGGGTTACTATGAGTACACATATGCATCTCAATGTTTTTAAGGTATTTCTTTGGAGATTATGTAAGAAAAAGCTTAATCAAACACAACATACAAATCAAAAAATTAAATCTAATTGCTCATTACATGACAGTATTTTAGCACTTGATATTATAGAGGTACACCCCAAATTTGCCCGATTAAAATTTTATGAGGCTACACCAGCAAATTTTACTAATACACAGATACAAAAGCACAGGATTTAGCTAACCATACTATTAGCACCAGCTAACGGAGCGACCCACTTCACTCAGGCGAGAACAGTTGGTGACGCTGTGCTGAGCATCCTGCCTACACCATCAGCTGATGACCAGTGACATGGAACCAGCTGTAAAGTGACGCCTGAACAGCGTCACGGCGAACACCTGTCCCATCGGCTGGCAGTGGTAACAGTCATCCTGCAGCGAAATAACCATCAGAGGGCACTGCGAAACACGCTGTGCTCAACAGAATTATGCAGGAGCTGCGTTGGAAGCTTTCACGTGCGTGTAAGTTAAAAATCCAAAGTGGAGAAGTTAAGCTGCATAAACCGAGTCATTAATTATTCCAGTTCTGTGTCTCTCTCACACACACTTCTGTTTACAGCAAAGCTATAGAGATGACTTCTCTTTTTAAAACACAAAAGAATTTTCTGCTTATCTTCTTGTGGTTTTATGACGACTTATTGTTGCTATTAACAAAACAGTAAAAGAAACCGGACTCTGTATCCTGTTTGCTATTGCAGTATTTGGGAAAAAATTGCACCAACTGCAATAAGATCTTAAAAAAGAAAAGGTGTTGATGTTTGAACACTCAAAGTTGTCAAGTACAGGAGTTACAAGAAAGCTACATGTTCTGTAGCAAACCACAAAAAAGCCAATATTTTTTTTTCAGGCTAAAGCCCTCTATTGAGTACAGACTGCTTGTCAAATACTCCCTCTCTGGAATAGTAATTTCATAAAGCGAGGTTATTTTTTGTTTTTAAACTTCCTGCTTCAAAGGTGAAAGTGTCTGAGATCACCTTTTCAGTGTGCTTGTAACAAGTGGAGCCAAGGTATAAGTAAATACCCTATTTGTGTATAGAACCTATAGCGTCTGGAAATCTGCCCCCGAAGTTTATGAAATTTTCCATTAGTTTTCTTAATGTCAAAGTGTGTTAGAAAAAACTCCTGTTGGGGAAGAAATGTCACTGGTGCTCTCAGTGACAGAAAAACAAAAGGAAATGCGAGAAAAGACTACAGAAGGCTTGGACAAAGGGAAATTTTAGAGGAAAGTATAAAAATTAATTTTCCATTCTGCCTACACAGGTAGAGCACTTGGAGTAAGAAGTCAAGAGTCACTCACATCACCACTGTGGGGACACATGTTATGGGACTGTCACTGTTCCTGGCCATCCCGTGAAGCACCAACAGCAGCTCAGGATGCAGAAGCCAGTTCCTGGTTCTGTAATCATGGCCTCATGGCTACTGAATCTTCTTTCTTTGTTTCCCTTACACCCAGCCATTTCTCAGTTGCAAACCACTTGGTTTTATCCTCTTAGGACAGGTCTACCACCACCTCACCTGCCCCTAACTTCTCTCCTAAATACTGATGTCCCCACTCTGGACAACTGTTCTGGTCTCCTATTCCTCCCTCTGTTCCTATCACTCCTACTTCTAGTTCCTCCTCCTGCCCCTTACTTGCTCTTATCTCTCTGCCTTTATATGCTTTTCTTTCCTTCTGTTTTCTTCCTTCCTATCAGCTTTTATAGTTTTCAGTTCTGAACCTTTCTTGGAATTCATCTATGATGTGAATTTTACTTTCTTATTAAAGCATTAAAAAAACCCCTCATACCCGACATATTCCTGTTAAAATGCAATAAAAAATTCAATTATATTGTGCCTTGGATTTTTGTTGTAATCCTCATATTAAAATTTGTGTTCAGTATTAACAAAATTAAAATCAATTTATTTACCAATGAATTACAGGCAGCATAAATCAAGAATAAAAAACAAACTACAGATATTGCGCAGATACTGTGCCTTCATATTATTATAACCATGATCGGTAAATCTCCTACTAATGAGATACGAGGTTTAAATGTGAAGAATGTGTTTAGTGAATTGTTGTCAATCAGTGTCTATACAAGAGGATAAGAATAATCTTGAATGGCAACACGTTTATTATAATAAATACCTAAGTACTTCATTACTTCAAAATGTCACTCTCCATTTATAGAGTAACAGATGAACATCTTTCAACTGTATACCTCACTGTATCTACTTCTTTGTAATTGAAACAGTGTTTTTGAAAAGTCTTGTCATCACTTACCCATTCTGTGTTGTTCTGAAGGGTGACTCAGTACTGGAGTCGTTCTGGTTGAGGCTGCCTTCCAATCCCCTTTCAAGCACATACATTTAAAATACATCAATCTTTTTTTGTTTTCTACCTATGACTTGGAGCTGGTCATTGGGAAAAAATCTGATTGTTATTTCCTTGTATGAGCATACTAAGCTCTATAATACCGCTGTGAATGTAAACAGTTACTCATGACTAATATTCAGAAAAAGGAAACAAACTGAAAATGACAGTTTATTGGGTTTATTTGAGAAACCCAAATAAATACACCAAGGAGACTTAACCTTTTCAATTTCTGATGATAGAAGAGACACTAAAACATATCACACCCAACTTCACTGGCTAAAGAAACATCTGGTTCATTTTGCATCGCCAGTAATTTGTGGAAGCCAGTAGGTATCTGCAGTAGCTTTCAGAGCTCACCTCATCCTTTATGTCTTCCTGCTGCTGGGCACTGAAGATCTCCATCGCAGCCATCAGCCTCATCATCAGCTCATCCACCGTTGTGTTACCTAGCAACAAAGGCAGATAGCTGAACTTCGTATCATTAAAGTTATTAAATAAAAACGAAGTCATTTTAGACTTAATCCATAAGAAACAGCTAGACATTAAGAAGACAGAGTAGGAAATGTAAGTATCTCGACAGAATGCTTTTAGTTTGCCTTTTTATTGACAATTCAAAATTGTTTTTACAAATATTGATCATAGGATAACATTTTAGGTGTTTCAAATCTGAACAATTGCTTTTGTGCTTGCATGAAATGACTATTTTTTCTTCTAATCACTAATGTTAGAGGAAAGATTTATAACCTTTCCTATATCTGGGGTTTCCCAACATGAAATTGATTTTACAGTTTTAGAACTCCCAGGTATAATCAGGGAGACTGAAGCAATTGCTGTGTCAGGTAACAAAAGGCAGGATGTTGGCAGCAGCATCCAAGTGTACTGGTTTTAAAAAAATGGAAAAAACCCAGAATACAGCGATTGAATAGATGTGTGCGCATGCATTTTTATTCAGGTATAACTAGCTGTAAAACTTCAAATATTGTAATATATTCTCTTCAGTGTATTTACCGCTGATAAAACTTGTAAAGCTAATAACAGAAGAAAAGTAAGTCATCTGTGTATATATCAAGAAATACACCTCATGCATAGGAAAACAGACACCTACCAGCGTGCCTCCAGTGTTCAGTAAGACTGAAAGATTAGTTTAATTTCCTACCAAGATGCACTTGGTCTTTGTTTTCTCTTCTTAAACTGAAGAGCCACTTGTCATAGTAGTTAAAAGGTCTTAGATCATGAGAAATAGTCTAAAACTATAAACTCTTAATACCTGTCAACCTAAACAGTCTTTGGACATTCGCAGAACAATACCAACAAGAGCTAGATTTATACTGGGGATGCTGATAAAAATTTTAAAAGGAATAAACTAACCAGAAGCCACAGTACCACTAAAGAAAACAAAACTATCCCCATAGTTTCCAACCCCAGGAAAAAATAAAAATCAAAAGCAAACTTAGACAGCCTGCATTTCAGTAAACGCCACTGGGACTTAAGTTTCTATATTGTTGTATCTCTTCTGTAAACATGCCTTCTCACCCAGCCCTGAAAAGCCCTCATTGTTCCCATTGCTAGCATTCGCTACCTTAGCAGAAAATGTTATCCTGCATGCTGCAACACACATGACTTCAGAGACCACCATTCACTGGAGGGCATATTGTTAAAAGATAACAGGGTCCCAATTCATGGGAAAATAAGCACAGCACATTTGACTTCTGTTAAAAGAGAAATTTAAGTAAGGCTGCAACAGATGATCAGTTTAGGTTAGCTTAGTTCTAAAGACTGTTTGCAGAAAACACAAAAAATCATTAATGCTTCATGAATGCAATGAGATAATTTGGATAATTTTATAGTATAAAGCGGCATTATATTATTGAGTCACCAAGTTGCTAAAATAGTTAAGTAATTTAGGCCAGTAAGCACCACTGACTTCAGTGGGATGACACAGATATTTAAAGTTACACACATGTTGAGCTATGCTGCAGAGCTATAAAAACAAAAAAAACTATTTATAAGTTTATTTGTATGAAGTAAGTTTTTTAAGTGAAAGAAGTACTATGAATTAGCGTTGTGCTGCACCTTGCACTACGGAGACAAAACCCACCCAAGATTCACAATTTTGGGCATAGAAAGAGCACTGCAGATTCCTCAAGGAAATGATTAATCCCATATGCAGAAAGAAAAGTAATCCTGTCTGCAAAAAGCTGCATTTCCTGGGGCTGAATTTCCTCAGGAAAATAAGGAGGTTAGAATAAAGATTGCTAGATATAAGCAATAAATAACCAAGGACATGGTGTCATGAAGGCAAACTTGTGGAGAAAGCCGAAGAAATGAGAGGCAGCCATTCTTTGATGTATTTTAATTTGAAGAGTTACTGAGAACAGCAGTCAAAGGGCATCACTCCCCATCTAAGTCATCTTGCTGTCAGTGAAATCAGAGGAATGGTTCTTCTGCCTGAAAGAACTGCTCATGTAAGCCAGAAAGCTTCATTTATGTGAGATTATACTAGCAACTTAGAATTCCGATCCAATTTGGGGTCTCAGAACTGCGGTCCGGTCTGAAAAAGCAACTCACGTTCAAATATTAGCCCACTGCATGCAACAGGAGTCCACGTGTTAACAAGGAACTACACACAGAGAACTACATGCATTCCGGCACTGCACAAAAAGTGCAGCCAAAATCTTTTGGAAATCAGTAATTTATATGGATATAGATTAGGAAACCTAAGTGTAGCTCCTTATTTAAGAGATTTGGCTTCTACTTTAAAAAAACCTGAAAAACTTAAACTATGATTCTACTACAGTCATGGCAACTTCAATCTCTAATACTATATTAATTAACACATTCATAAATAGTAGCTATTTATACCATGAAAGTAAAACAAATAAATTCATACTCTGAACATCTTAAAAAAAAGAAATGGTTAGCAAAGATGTCTTCTAACAGTTTCAATACTCACATAAGAACTACTTTTAATATAAAGTGAGAACCGTACCTTGTATTACATTCAATACTTCATTTGATGATCGTTTTCCCATAATAATAAGGAAAAGTGGAAACTGGTCCGTTTTCTGAGTTCGAATTGTTTGGGCTACAACACTCCCGAAGTGTCTAGTGCACATCGTCAGAAACCTATGTGGGGGAAAAAAGTTAACATTGTAGAGGTGATTTTGAAGTTAGTTTTTTAAAAAAATTATGTTAAATTCAGCAGTTTAACTGTGTGTCACCTACTGTTTAACATCTAGGCTTCTGCATTTAATTCCAGAGGTCTTTCTCCCTTTTTATGATTAAATTATGAGAATATTTACTAATACGAGAGATCCTCAACTGTCTAAATTGAAATAGTTAATAACTGGTTGAAACAGTGTTTTATTTGATGGAGAGTTCTATTTCCTGGTACACTATTCTGCAGACTGTAATTCAAAACTAACCCCCCCTAAATAATAATGCCAAATCAATCATTAAAAACTTCTAAAGAGAAACTAAGTAGAGCCATAATCTAATAATGAAAGATCAAGAAATTGTTTTTAATCAGCCATAGAATTAAAGCGTGGTACTTCAGAATTGTATTTTCTTTTGTACTAGTGCCCTGCCAGTGACATACTTAGCAGTGTGGTCTAAAAACAATAATTCTAAGCTTTTGACCAAAAAAAGCTCTTGGATATTAGCATACAGAAGTCTAGCATTAGTATTCTTAACACGATCTTGAATAAATGAAAAAACTGATAAAGCTTTTCTCTTCCATTAGAGGACTGTTTGAAATTAGCATTTCTTTCAAGAGAAAAGGGTAGCTTATGATATGTTTTCAGATCTGATGGTAAAAAGTAAATGTCATAATAATAATGAATTATGAAAGACCAAATGCAAATATAGAATGCTTTAATAAGATCCAATTTAATAAAGTCTGTAAAAATAATGGACTTTTAATAACACAGGTCACAAAAGGCAAAACAGTGGAAATTCTGAGGACTAGCCACTGGTACAGGCTTATTAATTCTTAATTATGTTCATGAAAGGCAACTTAAATCGTGTATTTTCTTATGCCTTATGATAATATTTTAGGTAACAACTACTCTGAAACGTATGCTCTAACTGAAGAGCAAAGTCCTGTTGTCTCATGCATTAGAAGCCAAATCTATTTGAAAAGACAAACTGCATTAAAATGTCAAGCGCTCCAAGTCATTTCTCCTCAAAGATACTGAAAAGATTCAAAATTGTTATTTTTTTATCAATATATGTTCTGATAAAATGGCTAAAAATTGAGAAGCCTGAGGAGTACAACAGTGGGCTTCTTTGAGGGAACTGATGTATAAAAAAAAAAACAACCCTCAAAGATGATTTTTAGTATAACTACAGCCATAGCTGGATGGAGGGCAATGAGCAGGGGCAGCTAGTGAGTATTTCAAAACCATAAATGTTACTAGAAAATAGCTTTCCTTGTCTCCTTTATTCTCTGTCTTTTGCAGTTTAGAACTATCACACACAAAGGCAACATCAAAAATGCCAAATAGGGTCTGCTGTATCCAAAACAGCCATGTAGAGACATATCATCTGGTAAAGATAAAATCAAGTGTCCCAAGTCTGGACACATAAACTCTTAAGCTAAATAATGTGGTTTTGAGTTTTGATTTTCAAGGTGGGAATATGTAAGTAACTTCTTGGCCTCACCGAAGTCAGTGGTGATCTTTCATGGCAAAATGACTTATGTGCCTTCAAGGTTTCACCCCTAAAAGACAGGGGTCAACTGAACTGAATTCAGTTGAACTGAATTTAAGAGTCTTCAACATATCATGGAAGAAAAGCACTCAAGTTTCATGTGAAAACAAAATATTTAACTGGAGGCGAAAAAGTGTTGTAGAGAATACTGGTAGAAAGAGCAAAACTAGGAGACTGTTATCCTTTGGAACCAAGTAAGACCCCACTCATCTGTTGAACTCATATGTAGTAAAGCCAACAAAAACATGAAAGTAGTCAAATGATGCAACACTGAATAAAAGGATAGCAGCAGCAATCTCCAACACCTACACCATATACCTCCTGTTCCCCAGCAGTTACTCACACACATGCTCTTCATATACCTCCTGTTCCCCAGCAGTTACTCACTCACACACATGCTCTTCGCCAGGTCAGTGGTTAGTGCTCAGCAATTACTCGTAACGCGTCTTTTCATTTTACTAGATGGCTAGAAATTTAATTTTCATTCATGATCCCCACTGAGGTTTTCTCATGCCTTTTAATAGATTTCACAACTACTTAACTAATTTAGCGTTTTTTTTCCTTTTCTGCCTTTACTGATTCTGCATTTTTAGGCTTTTTACATTCTTTCACATTCATATCCAGAAAAAAAAAAAAATCTCCTCTGTACTAATATTTACTGTCAGAAGTATGTGAGTAAGACCAAAACAATTTGGTGCAATAACTAGTAACTTACTCTGTACATCACTAACAAGGGTTTTTCTTATTTTCATCTAAACAGAAGTGTGCCAGATCTTTCAGTGGCATCTCCCAAGCTGCCAAGAGAACTGCCTGTGGAGTGCATCAAAGAGCCAGATGTCCCTCCGGGGAGAATTGTTTTCCACAACATGCTGGATTACTGTGATCTCCAACCAAAAGTGGAAATAGAGGAATGCTGCCAGAAAGGAAGGGCAAATGGCATCCTACTAGTCCTTTTATTTTTAAATTACAAAAATATTCAAGGAGGGAGAAGTATGAGAAATGCAAAAAAGCATTTTATTAAAGAAAAATCCATTAAAAAAAAAAACCCTTGAAAGTTGCAAGAATAAAGTGCATCAAGAAAAGTAATAGTTTTGGCAGACAGCATAATTTCTTTACTTCTCTCATGACTTGCTAGCAATGAAACCAGCAGTTATTAAACCTACGGAATAAACACGGACACTGACCATGGCTTGACAAATACAGAAACGAACCCTAAAAAAATGACAAACTTATCTTAATTTTTTAAATGTAGATTGAACAGGTATGAATTCTTAGACACAGTTAGCTCTTTCGTTAAAAGGAGCACAAAGGAAAAACTCTTCTGGTGAAACAAAGATGTTAATTTGGGGGGTTGCTCATCACAGCACAGCAGTTATCCCTCCACATGCACCCTGACATAATCTGCGCAAAGAGTTATTTCGTAACACGTTAGTTTCCCAGAGAAGAATGTTATCACTCCCTACCAGCTAATAGGTGACACATTATATTAAAATACACCTCTGGCATAACTGTTTTGTAATTTTATGATAAAATGCAACTTAATATTAGAATCATGGAATCATAGAATCATCATCTTCGCTTAAGAAAAGCTCCTAGAAGGCAATGATGAAAAAAATAACAGCTTTAAAAATCTACTGAAAAAAAATTTAAATATTACTGAGTCTCAAAACTGAAGGGAATACTTATTACAACTTAAGTCTGTGGTTTGCCATAGCTCCTGATCTCAGATACGCTGTAAATGCTGGGGTTTACCAATAATATGTTTTTGTGAGAACATGCAGCTTGTAATTTTTAACAACAAAATTGGCTACCTCTGGACAAAGTGCTGATCATCACAAATACTGATCTCAGAACTCAATATTTTTTGATCTCTGGAAAGTTTTTGATTTACATGATACCCATTCTGAGCAATAGGAGTCCTCTGCATTTCCATTAAAAATCACAGACATGGACCTACCAGTCATTGCTGAAACCAAACATTAACCACTCGATGTCTGTCCTCGGTTGTGGTACCAATTTTCAGGTACCTCCTGGAATCCAACTGATGATACAGTCTGACAGGGTGCACAGCTCTGCATGCGGCCCTAAATTAATCTACCTTCTCAAGACATCATGAGTAAAATAAAAATGTCAAGCAGTCATGGCATAGTATAGTAGTAGAGAGAGTAACTAAATGTAAAATGCTAATTCTAGCTCTTTTTTGTTAACCGAGTAAACCTGCAGAAGGAAACTAATGCAGAGCAAGCTGTGTATCGTATCTTGTAGTGTACTCCTGGAATGGGCAAAGAGGGACAACTGATGCTACATGCTGAATGTTTTTTGCGTGTTCAAACAAAAATTGAAAGCTCTCCTTTGCTTCTGCTTTTCTTAAACTCTCCCCAGCACCTTAAAGTTAATTAATAATTGTATTAGAAAATCTGTCTAGTGCACTGAAGTGTAAATTCTCTTCCATACAGAGAGAACTCTGCTCTCAAATGTATGGATAAAATGTATTAAAAATCAATATTAAAAACTGTATAGAATTTTAGATCAATTTTTGCTTATTTTCTGTACCAACATAAATAACACAGATGTGGTTATCTGTTACAGTCTTACTCATATAAATATTCCTGTAGTTACTTTCAATGTTTACACACTGGTGGAAAAACTTTGGAAAATTTCTTCCTAAAATGGGGCCCTTTTGACATACAATGTCCACTATGCTTCTTGCAAAGGGCTTTTAACTGAAAGGCTGCACTGGAGATGTTTTTTGTTGTATGATCTCAGCCTGAAATCCTGCGCAAAAAGCAGCAGCAGGACTAAACCTCTTCTAAAATATCTATTCCCTTTCAGTCTGATCTGGTGTTCGGTCTACAACCAGGATGATTTTGGGTCAAAAACGTGTGATTTATTTATGGCTAGATACTTCCCAAGGCTAACCTTACTTTAAGAAATGTTAAAACTTCAGAAATGGGTGTAAAAAAAATGTAGCTTCTGTCTTGAGCATGAAGAAAACAAAGATGAATATTAAATATGCAAGGTTTCTGATTATTTTTAGTAATAATTATATAAGTTGCAAAGTCAACATAAGACTCATTAAAATGTTAATGTAAAAATAACATTTTTGTATTAGGTATTTACATTTAAAAGAAAAAGTAAAAGCTGAGGTCATGAAGTGTTATATTAAAATAAGCTTGCTATGCATAGTCCCCATCATATACTGTCTTACCCACATGGGTAGGGTCATAACTGTTCACTCCAACACAAGGGGGAATGAGCAACAGATACAAGGCACAGTTTAAAGATGCATAAAGCAGCCTGAATCAAATGACGCAGCTACCCTCTTTAGTATCCACATGCTAAATATCCAAGGGTTCAGATGTAAAAAAGTGATTTTATTCACTTTTTCTTTACAAGATGCATAAAGCAGCCTGAAT